TATGATTCGTAGAGCGAAAACAGGGCAGCATTCTTCTTTTAAATAACGCACCTATCAATGCAAGGCCGGGGGGGGGGGGGGGGGGGGGCAGGGAATGGGGTGGAGATGTGACATTTTCCCAAAATTTGTCGTCAAATTCCCTGCCCACGGGCAAATCATTCCAGTCAAATGCAACCAAATTTCCCCTTCCCGGGCTGCACATTGCTATCAAATATCCCGAGGCAGAACCCAAGAAAGGCACAATGAAAATATTTCCAAATAAAACTCTGCAATCTTTATTTATAAACGTTGCTGCATCACCAAAGATACATGCATGTTCCTGTTACAGCTGCAATTATACGTTTTAACCATAATCCGTGTTACACTGCGTAGAATACAGAAACCTTTCAGGAGAAAGTCCACATTTTGTAAGTTTTGTAAGTTTTGTAAATATACCATTCTTAGTAAATTAAGGGTACAAAGAAAGTCAGTTTTACAAGCTTTATGCAGTGATTGTAGCGAATAAGCCGTACACTGATCAACTGTACTTTCAAGAATTGACTTTGTTTCTCTTTACTTCCGTTTACTTTGATATCACAGAATCTTCAGAGGTTCAATTGATCAAAAACACGCTAAAAAAACGAAATTTGAGGACAAAACAGTGAAATCCACTCAGCTTTCGCTTGTTCCCGTTGGCCTCCATGATTTCCAGATCTTTCCAGACGGTACGGCGCATGCGTGAGGCGTGGTGGGGAGAAACATATGTTCGGTCTCAGTCTTTTTCGTCCGAGTCGGCAGTCAAATATCTCCACGTCGGGCGAAGAAAGATTAAAAAATCCCCTCCCCTGGGAGAACAAGATTAGTCAAATGCCCTACCCCAGGGCCAACAAAGACAATCAAATCCCCACCCCATGCCCTGCCTCCCCCCGCCCCCTCCTCGCGGCATAACATTGATAGGTGCATAAAACTTGATCACTTTCGTCAAATCTAAAGCCACACGGCATTCTTTTTTTTAACAAACACGATGAAAATGTACCTTTCTCTATTAAAACTGCAGTCGGCACTGTGGATAGATAGAAACTTCTAAGCTCCTAGCGCTTGGTTCACCTCCAAACTGAATGCTCTGGTTTAATTTCAAGTGTCTTGATATAAATCCGCAGACTCACACCCTTCAATTTCCAAGAAATGCATAGCGACTAACAAAGCGTAAACGATGTGTTTAGCAGCTGTGCGGAGCTGTACATACTGTTTTCGTCTGAATTATTGGCCGTAAATGCATTGCGGCCGCGAGACAAGAAACATAACCGAGTCCAGTCTCAACAAGAGACAAATCGCCTCTGCCTCTGCTTCAAAAGCCGCCATAGTTGTGTATTTATTGAATATCCCTTAAGACTGGCAATAAGCGAGATAACTACTATAGTCGTGCTCGTTACTTTTATTCGATATTGTCTATTTCAAGTGTATGACCCATTTTATATGAGTAACATGAACTTGGGTAAAATCCTATTATATAAGTCGAGTTATCTGTTGAATACGAAACACTTATAGTATATCATATAAGTGAACAATCTACTCGTTTTCTTTAATTAATATTGTCTATTCTACGTTAAGTCATATCTGAATTGATTTGCAATCGACTTTTTTAAAATAACCTATTGGATAGGAAACTCTTATTACAATTGCTTACTGATACGCATGTTTAATTGTATATCCTAACACGTTTCAAAAGCCATTATGTATATACTTGTACCTTCACTCAATGATGTCTATTTCAGTAACATTGTCTATTTCACGCGTGTGACCAGGTTAATAAGTAAGTAACCATGAATTAAGAAAAAATTCTATTTTAAAGGTAAGTTACCTTTTGGGTGGGAATCGTTGATTAAAAATACCTAATGGGCTTTACTATGCGACAGCTTTAACGGCTCAGCCAATTGAATTTTTTGTCCATTTCACGTCATATGTACATTGTGTATGTAACATAGGAATTAAAGTAAACCCTGCTTTGTGAGTAAGTGACCTACTACTGGCATAGCAAACTCTAACTACAAGTGTCTACCGAACTACTACGCGTATTTAATTCAGTGTAACATCCTCAAATTTGTCACAATTTTCGAGACATTTTGGATCAATTTTTTCTGCTTCGTGCGCATGACCTTCTTCAGAAGAAAGTTATTTCTGAATTAAACTAACACACTTAAAAGTAACCGATTTGCTTATGAAGGAATACAACTTTTTCATGGTCATTAGTCAAATGTTCAGTTGTCTTTACAAAAAGAAAAAACTCCTGATATAACGATCATATACTGTATATATAAATTAGGCTAAGGATATAACCTGACGTCTCAGCGATCTTCAGCCAAGCCTGACCTCTATTAACAAGGTTAATCCCAAAAAAGCATTTGCTATAAACCTCTTTCGCTTGTAAGCTTTGTTTTCTCAATGTAGGTCATGTGACAGTAAGTGCGGTCGCAGGATTTGGCACAAACAACTCATCACGTAAACAACACGTGCTTCTACTATTTGGTGCATTTCACTTTTTCATGATTGGTTGAGCCGCTTTGGTTTTTTTAACCCATAGAACTTAACTCGGGAACGGTAATGAGTAATTCTTTGACCACACACAATAATCCACAAAACTTATTCTTTCGAATTTCGTCTTATTCAGGTGCATGTGTACGCATACTTTATGAAAAGACAAAAGGCCAAATTCATTGGGAAAACAAAACATACTGGTTAACGAAATCCATTTCCCACGACGGTAAATGAGAAATATATACGGCTTTTGGGCACCATTACTAAAACGTTACGGAGAATAGAAGACCTCGCTTTCTCTTTGATCTGTCACGTGAAAAAGCCTCACTTCCCTGAGTGTAATATAAGAAAAGAACACCCCTTTTACAAAATAAATTAAAAGCAAATAAGTTGTAAACCTGTTTTCAACCTGCGTAATTTGTTTTCTAGCAACACTTGTGTAAACTACGTTGTCACGATAAACGATTACACACGAATTCCGCACAAAAGATTTCTAGCGATTCAACTCCATCAACTGCGACATTTTTTACAAAATTCTGACAAAATACTTGACGGACGTTACACAGATCTTGATAGTTCATCGATTATCCTCTGCATGGTTGGTCTCGCTTCAGGATCTGCCTGCAGGCATCGCCGTACCAGGCCTCTCAACACATGGTTCGTCATGAGCAGAACTTGCTGTTCACGCCTTCTAGGATCTGGAAGATCCCGGACGCACATTTCACAAAGAAGAACACCAAAGCTATAAACATCAACCTATGAACAATACACACATTTTTAATTTTTAATTTTTTTTTACTGACCTCGCAAGTGGTTTCGAAACAATTGTAACTTCCTGAAAGTTCATGCTCATTGTGGACAGTTCTCGGTCTCACCTACTTCTTAGTTATACTGTTGAAGGTTTCCTAATAAACAACTCAGTGTAAACTTTACGTTGACAAAGAGCAGGATTAGTGTGTCACGTAAGTCTTCTTGTCACGCGCTGCGGAGATGATGACGCGAAGAAAAGAAGTCCGCCCGCAACGCAGGTTTGATTGGAGTAGAGCTGATGGCGCAAAAATCTTGAGTTTACCTGTCGAATGTAGTACACCTGAGATCAGACTCTAAGTAAAATTTCGGCATGAATATGTAAGCTGCTAAAATTGGACCTGATCGTTTGGAGGTTTGATTGATGTAGAACAAGTGCGCCGTGAGATCTAATGGCAACTGATTTGTTAGGCAAACTGGCATTTTATTGCGCCATCATCTCCGCACCGCGTGACTAGGAGGCTTACGTGTCTTGCTAATCCAGTTGTGTTGTGTGTCAACGTAACTTTGTTGCATTCTTCAGGAAACATGTTACAAACATATTTTAATAGAAGAACTCTTTCGAAACCACATGCGCAGTCAGCGAAATTACATTCCTATTGCCTGTATTAGTTTAAAATTTTAAGGTTATTTGAGACATCTTTTAATATTTATTTTAGATACCGTTGTAGCACATTTTTAGGTCATTTTAGATCATTCCCTCTTTTTGTAACTACGCAACCAGTATCATATTCAATTCTGCATTCCGGTATGCGTAATTAGACTGAATTTTTAACGATAACCTCTCTGTATTCGGTCAGATTGAAAAATCTTTAAATGGATAAAATTAATTTTAAGACATTTACACCAATTCAAGAAAACTGAACTGCTAGTAACTATTAACTGCATGTACCCCCGTGTGAATTAACTGCTCATTAAGCATGCAGGAATGCAGAGATGAATCTGAAATCTACAAAAAGCCAACGGATTCAATTTTCGAATAATAAGTTCATTAATCGAATCTTGGGGGGGGGGGCGGTTATGCTTGAACTGGTTTAACCGTAAGTATTATAGTCTGATTGTGATCTTATTAAGCTGTAAGCTGTAGGATATACTTTACACAGATTAACGCCCCCCCCTCCATGGTGTCACTTTACACCCTACCACCCCTTAACGGCCACTTTCCCACGCGGTGACGTTACTCTCTCCCAAAGGCGGTCGTTTTGGAAAGGTTTGACTCTATTAGATTTATATGAGAAGTCTCCAGTACGATTTTAAAACTGAACAATTAATGAGAAAACCACACGTCTACAGCTTGTTTTCGTTGCGTACAATGTAAACTCCTGAAAAACGATCAATAGTCGAGATTACCCATGAATGTTTGAGGTCAAACGGTGAAGGTAAAAGCTATCACCGTTACCACTGTTTGGCCGGGAATTAAGCAGCAGGAGAATGAGCACAGAATGTTATTCTGGTTCACACAAAACTAAACAGATCAGCATCAATTTGCTGCTTCCAATTTTACACCAAGGTAAAGTAGGACAGAGTGTAGTACAGTTTCTTTTGTGTGAGTAAACGACCAACCAGGCCTTAAAATCCTACGCGCTCAAGATCAATGCACCAACGCGTTTCTTCTAAATCTAAAACGTGTTTATGAAACAGTATTGAATCAGAAAAGCCCTAAATTCAAGAAAACTCACCTTGACCGTTTGCTTTGATGTAAGTGCCTCAGGCGCGCAGTAAATCATAGCTCCAGGAGCCACTGTCATGGTCTGCTGCATGAAATTAGCAGTGCCATAATCTGACACTTTGCCTCTCCATTGGTCACCTTGTCGCCATAGCAACACATTAGCACTGCTCACATCCCGGTGAATGATAGGCTCTGGTTTCTTCTGATGAAGGTAGTTGATTGCTCGGGCTACATCCAGAAGAATGGCACGTATTTCTATCTCGGAGAGTTGCCGCTGTTCTAACAGAGCTCGCAGACTTTTCTCCATCAGCTCCGTCACAAACAGAGGGTTTCCTTCATCATTAGTGGCGCCGATAAACTGCAGCAAGTGAGGATGGCGGCACTTGGACGCAATATTCATTTCTCTCTCAAAAAGACGAATATTATGAGGGGAAAGAATCAGATCATGAATTTGCTTTACCGCTACAGTACAGCCACAATACACGCCTTCATAAACACTTCCCCAGCCTCCCCTGCCAAGGCATTTGTTGGTCATTTGAATTTCATCGCGGGAAATGACCCAATCGCATGATTTCTGTTGTTGCTGTTCACTTATTGTTTGCTGGGCTAACGAAAGACTTAACACAAGCTCATTTACTTCCTGCTCTTTGTCTCTAAGCTGTCTTTCTGAGGTGGAAACCCGTTGTTGGGAGTTTTCAAATCGCTGCCGCATCTCCCTAAGCTGACTTTCTAAGTTTTCTTCACGTTGCTGTGTCTCCCTCAGCTGACGTTGTGAGTTTTGCTGCATCTCCCTCAACTGCCTCTGTGAGTTTCCTTCGCGTTGCTGTGTCTCCCTCAACTGCCTTTCAAGGTTTCCTTCGCGTTGCTGCATCTCTCTCAGCTGCCTTTGTGAGTTTTCTTCACGTTGCTGTGTCTCCCTCAACTGCCTTTCAAGGTTTCCTTCGCGTTGCTGCATCTCTCTCAGCTGCCTTTGTGAGTTTTCTTCACGTTGCTGTGTCTCCCTCAGCTGCATTTGAAGGTTTCCTTCGCGTTGCTGCTGTCTTTGCGAGTTTTGCTGTAACTCCCTCAACTGTCTTTGCAAATTTTCTTCGCCTTGCCGCATTTCTCTGAGCTGCCTCTCCAAATCTCGTTCGTGCTGCCGTAATTCTCTTGATTGTCTTGGGATAGGAGTTAGTACGCTTGCTCCACGTAGATCTTGCATATTTTCTGTAAGGGTTTGAGACAATTAATTAACTGCAGACTCGCAGTGTTTTAGCCACTGAAGACTACCGGTAGCTTTTATCCTCACCGTGATATTTCCACCTTCAAACTTAATCCACTGTACGACCACACAATTCTTAGAAACAGGTAAACTTCCGCATTGTCTTCGGGATTTCCTTAGTAAACAAAGGCTACGGATTTTCCATAGGCGGGAGATAGGCTACACTGTTTCAAAACAGCTTCTTAGTTTGCAAAGATCAAAGTATTGCTTTTAACTTTGTTCAGAAATTCTTAAAGGCGATTTTTTTTCTGTCTTGATGAAATGAGAAAGAAAACACGTTCGGCAAAAACACTTCCACTTTTACGTACTAGCAATATGCCGAGTCTTGCCAAAACACAACGCACAACGACCATTAAAAGAAAGAAAAGATTGAACCTTAGAAAAAATAAGAATCGAACAGAAAGCACTGTCAAGTTTGCAAAACTGCGTTAATATTTACATTCATAAACGTCATGATCGTTCTCTCCGAGAACTGTTTTCTGTGTATCAGCAGATGTCTTGCAAACATTTACACCAATTCAGGCTATATATGATTTATGTCATTGACGTATAACCGGTATCGAATTTGTAAAAAAAAAACCTTCTTACGTGTAAAGCTCTTTCTCCTTGATTTCCCATACTCTGGAAGGCCTTGAAGAGAAGCATTTCGCCTTTATGATTCCAAGAGCCAAAACAGGGCAACATACTTCTTTTTATATAAAACTTGATCTCTTTCGCCAAATCTAAAATCAAACGGCAGCCTTATGAACAAACAAGATAAAAATTTACCTTTGTCTCTTTAAAATGCACTGTGCCTGTGGCTTGATTGAAGCTTCTATGCTCCTCGCTCTAGGTCCACCTCAAACTGAATGCCCTGATTTAACTCCAAGCGCTGAGATATAAGAGAGTCCGCTTACTCACACCCTTCATATTTCCAAGAAATGTATTGCGACAAACAGTGCGTGATCGATGCGTTTAGCAGCTGTGCGGAGCTGTATACGATGGTCTCTACGATCTCATTCCTGTCAGAATTAGTGGCATAAATAAATGCATTGTGGTCTCGAAACAAGACACACCCTCATCATAACAGCCTCAACAGACAGAAATCGCCTCAACCTCGGCTTTAAAAGCCGCCATAGTTGTATAATTATGGAATGTCCTGTAAGACTTGCAAAAAGCAAGATAATCTACTCGTTTCTGTTAAAATATTTGTCTATTTTAAGGGTACGACCTATACTCACTGTATACTTAATAAGTTATTGGGGTAAAATCCTATTCTATAAGTCGACTTACCCGTTGAATAGAAAACGCAAATATAAGCGACACATCTACTCGTTTCTCTTATTATTGAATATTGTCTATTCTACGTGAATGACGTACTTTATAGGTAAGTAATATCTGAATTGATGAGCATTCGATTTTTCAAATAAACCATTACATAGCAAACTCTAACTGATCACAATTGCTTTCTAACTCGCAAGTTTAATCATAAACGCTAAAACGTTTCATAAGCCATCATATACTTATGTCTTCACTCAATATTGTATATTTAACATGGCCTATTTCATTTGTATGACCTCATAAGCAGGTGACCTACTCAGCTACACGCGGATTCAGTGGTATATCCTAATTGACTTTTTATAAGCGACATATCTACTAGTATCTTCAGTCAATTTAGTCGTCTATATTGATCCGTGACCTACTTCATAAGTATGTAACACAGGAATTAAGGAACGAATCCCCCTTTATAAGTACGTTACGTATATCCAGTATAGGAAACTCTACATACAAATGTCAGCCGTTATTGCTAATTAATATTGGACGTATTTAATTCTATGTCCTAAAACTTGTTACAAGCGACATGTCTACTGGTATCTTCAGTCAAGTTAGTCTATTTCACGTCTACAACCTACTTCATTGGAATTAAAGTACACCCTGTTTTAACTCAAATATAAATGTCTTCTTTGATGTCTACCGTAACTGCTAACCACTACGCGTGTTTAATTGTGCATTCTACAACTTGTAATAAGCGCCCTATCTATAGCCTGCGCCACAGACGGTGGAACTAAAGCCTCTTGTTAAGTTCGTCTTCAAAACAGCGCCGAAACCCTTGTTCAATCAGGCCCCCACCTGTGTATCAGGATTTGAGGACGCGCTATCATTGGCCAGTTACCCACTGAAAAAAACCATTATTAATTTGTAAATCAGATGGAGGAGAAAATCGAAACGCATTTCCGGTAATTCTTTCAGTCCGTTGAGGGCCCAGAACAAGAAAGTTACTACTAAATTATAAACCGGATTAAGATTACGTCTGCGACGCAGGTTACATTATCTACTCCTATCTTTGATTTATATTGCGGTCTACTTCGGCTCTATGACCTTCATAAGTTCAGGCATAAGAAAGCAATATCTGAATAAATGAAAAAATATATTTTGTAAGTAATGTATTGCATATGTAAAAATAAAGCTATCATTTTTCATTTTTGCTACTCTAACGATCATACAGACACTTATTCATATCAGAAAATCCGGCCATACTAAATCTTCAAGCAGAAACTGCTGCTATTTTTACCAGTAAACGCCCAGTCAGGGCTTTCTCTGCAAGTGCCCGGTAGTCCCTGGTGCCTTAATCTTGCACTTGGGCATAAAGGAAGTATTTTTTTCACATAAATCAAATCCTGGGTACCCTGGATTTCACAACCTTCACAGGTTCAGAGCACCGGGCCCTCTCCAATTTTCAGAGCACAGGCATTCAGATAGTGGGGAATACGCAAATAAAAGCGCGCGCCACTCCCCACTATCTGAACGACTGGAACAGGCTAAGGGCACACATTACCAGGAATTAGCAATGATATGGTGAAGCGTTGGTTCTACAATTAAGATGATACATTGGCATCTTTCAGTTCATCGATTATTCCCTGCATGGTTGGTCTCGTCCCAGGCTATCTCAACAGGCATCGCCGTACCAGGCCGCGAAACACAGCGTTCGTTACCAGCACGACTTGTTCTTCTCGCCTTGTAGGATCTGGCAGTTCCCGGATGCACATTTCACAGAGAAGAGCATCAAAGCTGCAGACATCAACCTAAAAACAATCATAATACATGACTTTATGCCACAGTATTCTTTATTTACATTACTCATTAGTGGTATACTGATTACAAAAAGAGTTAAAGTAACACCAGAGGGAGAATCTCGAGAATTCAAACCAAATAGATGATCATCGATAAATGATAAGAAAAGCCTAGAAAAGAGAAGATCCTTAAAAGCCTTCAAGGTAAGTTCTTGGCTTTATTGTTTTGTTTCTAAAAATACTAACTTTTGCAATCCTCTAACCGTTGTCTTTAGAGAAAAGAAGGGACAAATTATCAAATCCAGTCACGTGGACCAAATCCATGGAGAAAAACATAAAAGAGTGGAAAAAGTGCCGAACAAGGTGCAAAGACTCCTGACAAAGATACGGTCATTTTTAATTCAAGAATGTTGAAGTGTTTGCGGACAGGACAAGAGGGCGAAAGGACAAAGGTCACTTTCACTTCTGCCACTGTTAGCTTTCAGTGTACAGTTTTAGTAAGTAAAAAGTCTTGAATGTTCACTTAAACTAACCTTGACTGTTTGGTTTGATGTAAGTGCTTCAGGTGCGCTGTAAATCATAGCTCCAGGAGCCACTGTCATGGTCTGTTGCATGAAATTACAAGTGCCATAATCTGACACTTTGCCTCTCCATTGGTCAAACTGTCGCCATAGCAACACATTAGCACTGCTGACAGCCCGGTGAATGATGGGTACTGGTTTTTTATGATGCAGATAATTAAGTCCACGAGCCACGTCCAAAGAAATGGCTCGTATTTCTCTTTCAGATAGTTGCCGCTGCTCCAACAGAGTCCTCCGATTGTTTTCCATGAGCTCGGTTACAAACAGAGCGCTTTCTTTGTCATTTGTGGCCCCGATAAACAGTAGTAAATGAGGGTGATGACACTTTGAAGCAATCTCCATTTCTCTATTAAAGAGGCGTATGTTATGTGGAGAAAGCATCAAATCATGGATTTGTTTCACTGCTACAGCACACCCACAATATACTCCTTCATAAACACTTCCCCAACCTCCCCTCCCAAGGTATTTGTCTGGCATCAGAATTTCGTGGCGAGCAATGATCCAGTCACAGTCTCTCAACTGCTTTTGTGAATTTTCTTCTCGTTGCTGCATCTCTCTCAACTGCCTTTGTGAATTTTCTTCTCGTTGCTGCATCTCTCTCAACTGCCTTTGTGAATTTTCTTCTCGTTGCTGTCTCTCTCTCAACTGCCTTTGTGAATTTTCTTCTCGTTGCTGCATCTCTCTCAACTGCCTTTGTGAATTTTCTTCTCGTTGCTGCATCTCTCTCAACTGCCTTTGTGAATTTTCTTCTCGTTCCTGCATCTCTCTCAACTGCCTTTGTGAATTTTCTTCTCGTTGCTGTATCTCTCTCAACTGCCTTTGTGAATTTTCTTCTCGTTGCTGCATCTCTCTCAACTGCCTTTGTGAATTTTCTTCTCGTTGCTGCATCTCTCTCATGCAACTGCCTTTGTGAATTTTCTTCTCGTTCCTGCATCTCTCTCAACTGCCTTTGTGAATTTTCTTCTCGTTGCTGTATCTCTCTCAACTACCTTTGTGAATTTTCTTCTCGTTGCTGCATCTCTCTCAACTGCCTTTGTGAATTTTCTTCTCGTTGCTGCATCTCTCTCAACTGCCTTTGTGAATTTTCTTCTCGTTGCTGTATCTCTCTCAACTGCCTTTGAGAATTTTCTTCTCGTTCCTGCATCTCTCTCAACTGCCTTTGTGAATTTTCTTCTCGTTCCTGCATCTCTCTGAACTGCCTTTGTGAATTTTCTTCTCGTTCCTGCATCTCTCTTAACTGCCTTACAGAGTTTTCTTCTCGTTTCTGCATCTCTCTCAACTGCCTTTGTGAATTTTCTTCTCGTTGCTGTATCTCTCTCAACTGCCTTTGTGAATTTTCTTCTCGTTCCTGCATCTCTCTGAACTGCCTTTGTGAATTTTCTTCTCGTTCCTGCATCTCTCTCAACTGCCTTTGCGAATTTTCTTCTCGTTGCTGTATCTCTCTCAACTGCCTTGGTGAATTTTCTTTTCGTTGCTGCATCTCTCTCAACTGCCTTTGTGAATTTTCTTCTCATTGCTGTATCTGTCTTAACTGCCTTTGTGAATTTTCTTCTCGTTGCTGCATCTCTCTGAACTGCCTTTGAGAATTTTCTTCTCGTTCCTGCATCTCTCTCAACTGCCTTTGTGAATTTTCTTCTCGTTGCTGCATCTCTCTCAACTGCCTTTGAGAATTTTCTTCTCGTTCCTGCATCTCTCTCAACTGCCTTTGTGAATTTTCTTCTCGTTGCTGTATCTGTCTTAACTGCCTTTGTGAATTTTCTTCTCGTTGCTGTATCTGTCTTAACTGCCTTTGTGAATTTTCTTCTCGTTGCTGTATCTGTCTTAACTGCCTTTGTGAATTTTCTTCTCGTTGCTGTATCTCTCTCAACTGCCTTTGTGAATTTTCTTCTCGTTGCTGTATCTCTCTCAACTGCCTTTGTGAATTTTCTTCTCGTTGCTGTATCTGTCTTAACTGCCTTTGTGAATTTTCTTCTCGTTGCTGTATCTGTCTTTACTGCCTTTGTGAATTTTCTTCTCGTTGCTGTATCTCTCTCAACTGCCTTTGTGAATTTTCTTCTCGTTGCTGTATCTCTCTCAACTACCTTTGTGAATTTTCTTCTCGTTGCTGTATCTCTCTCAACTGCCTTTGTGAATTTTCTTCTCGTTGCTGTATCTCTCTCAACTGCCTTTGTGAATTTTCTTCTCGTTGCTGTATCTCTCTCAACTGCTTTTGTGAATTTTCTTCTCGTTGCTGTATCTCTCTCAACTGCCTTTGTGAATTTTCTTCTCGTTGCTGTATCTCTCTCAACTGCCTTTGTGAATTTTCTTCTCGTTGCTGTATCTCTCTCAACTGCCTTTGTGAATTTTCTTCTCGTTGCTGCATCTCTCTCAACTGCCTTTGTGAATTTTCTTCTCGTTCCTGTATCTCTCTCAACTGCCTTTGTGAATTTTCTTCTCGTTGCTGTATCTCTCTCAACTGCCTTTGTGAATTTTCTTCTCGTTGCTGTATCTCTCTGAAATGCCTTTGTGAATTTTCTTCTCGTTGCTGTATCTCTCTCAAATGCCTCTGTGAATTTCCCTCTCGTTCCTGCGTCTCTCTTAACTGCCTTAGAGAATTTTCCTCTCGTTCCTGCATTTCCCATAACTGCCTTTGAGAGTTTTCTGCGCGATGTTGCATCTCCTCTAACTGCTTTATTGATTTTCTTCTTGTTGCTGCATTTCTGTTAATTGCCTTTGTGAATTTTCCACACTTTTCTGCATCTCCGTTAACTGCCTTTGTGAATTCTCTTCGCGTTGCCTCATCTTCCTCATCTGCTCTGGCCAGTTTCCCTCCTGTGTCTGCAGTTCCCGTAATTGCGTTTTCAGATTTTCCTCTCGTAGATCTTGCATTTTCAATTGTGCTGCAAAGAGTTATAAGCGCAAAAAGTGTGATTCCTCTAAACACCGAATTAACACAACGATACTATATTCGTCTCTAGTTTGAACCAAAATTTGGATCCGTTTCTAGCTAAATCTCACTGTTTTTCCTTACTAATTTATAGAGTCAGTAACTGTGCTCACATTGTGGGTGGCTCCTCCTAAAATGTGCAGAGAATTTCACACGCAACAACAATTATTTGCGGTCTATTCCCTTAAAGTTTGTGGTCTGTTGTCTTCAGAATTTGCTAAGTTTACTTTTCTATTAAAGACTACAAGTTTTTTGTTTATACGTAAGTTTTTAAAGAGGCACAGTATTAGTTTACCTAGACATACCCTTCGCCTCTCCTTTCTATTTACCACGTGATTTATTGTAAGAGTTGTAATTTTGTATCGTGCCTTTACATTCTTTGTTATTTTATTGGTTACTTAATTTTTAACCTTACACAAGAGAGAATGATGCCTTACATGTATATTTAATTCTGTATTTCCATTTGCTAAGGTTTGGAGAAACAACTGATAACTAATTAAATTTGCTAAGTTTTATCACCCAGTCTTACCTTTGATAGAAACAGGCAGCTCATCAATAAAGAACTGAATATCATCTGGATTAGCATCTTTACGATGGATGGTTACACTGGGCAGGTTTCCAGCGAAGCGATGCATGTATTGTAATCTGCTTATAGTAACTGACGTATTGGTAACATTCATTGAACTCTGAGCCATAATGTCAAACTGAAACAGATTAAGACCAGTTATATTGACTTTCCACAGGAACCTATAGTCAGTAGACCATGAGATTCAGATAATCCTAATTTTACTAAAATTTGCTGATCCCCAGTCTAGAGAATCCTGCCCTTTTTTTTTCGCACAGAGGCGAGCGCCACACGAGAGTGACTGGTGACGAAGCGTAAGGGACCATGGGAAGGAGAAAAGCGGAATTCCGTTTTTTCTTTCCCGCCTTCCTTTGCGCGCAAATTTTCGTTGAGAGAGAGACGTTTGGTACAAGGCAGGGAACCTTTGAAAGGGCCTACACCAGGTTACGCCCACAAAGAAAACAAAGACAATCAAGATAGAGCCTAGGAAAATAAAATTAAGGCACAAAACAAAGACAAGTTACACAGTTTCGTACCCACGTAAACCCATATTTTATAGAAGCCTTTTACAATTTCATAAGGTTATACAATACGAGGATATGAAAATGTCCTAAAACAGGAGCCCGCCACTAGGCTTCTGGCTAAAATGACTTTAACTACATTTTCAGAGAGCTAAAAAAGGTTGAAAACGACGAAGTTTTGACGTTTTTAACTCTCTTACATCGATTTTGTCATGAGAGAATGAGCTGATTTTATGAGATTAATATTTTAGCGCATTATTTTATATTGATTTTAGATGTTTAAAGAAATAGATAAAATCATGACGGCAAAAGTTTTCGAGAACCCCAAGGACCGGCAGATTATGACGTGAAGGTGTGGTCGGTGGAACAAGATTTTCCTTCGAACTTTTCTAATCAAAGAACATTATTTTATGTAGTTTTTCCATGGCCTTTTTTGACTAAACCGTACTCATGGGGATATGCTTGAAAAACAACCTCGTTCCAGGGTTCCCTCCTACTTGTAAGAGAAAGCCCTACGAACGAGTTTGCTTGAGAAAAGTTAGCCTGTTCCAAGCGTTCAGATAGTAGAGCGCGGAAGAAAAATTCACGAAGGAAAAAAAAAAGAGGGGATACTAGAGGGGGAAGGGAAGAGAACGCCTGTAAACATTCCCTTACAGAGCTCTTTCAGCCCTTAACTGACCGCCGACCGCGTAACTGTGACATGAACTACAAAGACGCGACCCATAAGCTAGTGATAGTGTGAAACGTGACCTTTGAGTTAGCTTTCAATAAACAACATCAGAGGTTTTCCTTCTTTTAACTAAGCAAATCTAATTTCTGTCGCTCTGAGTCTAACATTTAGACGGTCAGTCATGCATACTGGGTAATTATTTCCTGCGGTTTGTTTCTGAAAGAATTTGATTCCAGATGCAGTTATTAAAAGTACTGATTTTCTTTGACCTCTGTTAAAGCATTAATCTTTTTATTGCGGCTAAATAACCTTTCAAAGAAGATTTTTTTGCCTTTCTGGGCTTCCATAAATGATCTCACACGCACACCTTCCTTTCACATTGCCGTGTCTTCGTCCATGCCTTCCTCCTGTCCCCAACCTATGGCTGTTGTTGCTGTTATTCCAAACTCGCTTGAGCTTGGTGTAATTATGGCTAGGAGAGGTGCAACGATGATGATCGTGGAAATTGACTCGCCAACTTTTCCTTTGATTACGTTTATTATTCGACGTGGAAAGAGTAGAAAAATGAAGGTCTCCCAGAGCCCGCTGGAAGAATCGCGAAAACGTCTTGGCCTCTGCGAACGAGATTCAAGCAAATTTACTGCTCTTCACGAAAAGATTCCTCAAACAGGAAATGCTCGGTTGCATTGTTTATAGTAGCTTCGATGTCCGCGTGATTCGATAACTGATTGAATTCGTTCTTCCACGGATACAAATGATGAAGTTCCACTGAGCCAGGTTCTAAGTCATCTTTACCTGTCCACGATACTTTTTCTGACACTTCACAAATCGTAGTTCGTAAAAAATCCATTTTATTACCTTGAAGCTTGAGCGTCCTAAAACCAGTCATCCACAACCGGAAGAGGAAGCGAAACAGGAACAGAAAACGAAAGATTGGAAAAGGGATTTTCCTCAGATGGACGAAATATATCAGGTTGCAAGAAATAGACGATAGTCCACGCTCTCTTTCCATAAAGCAAAGTAGAGAGCATATCATATCATATCCTAACATATATCATATCATGTCTCATATATCATATAAGGGCAACCTTTGATATTTCTTCTTTTTCAATTCTTAATCCGTGAGACCAGGGAATGTCACAATTTATGCTAACATAATTTGTAATGCTGTGAAAGTTTTGAACCCAGGAGTCATTTCAAAAGTAGGTCGAGTTTGATCGTCCAGGTGAACGTAGTCCTGAATAGGACTGTTGTTGTTGACAGTGACTGACGTTTCGACAACCTGTGCGGTAGTCATCTTCAGAGTCAAAGTGAGTTGCATCACGTCAGTTGATGGTATTATACTCTGGTTATTGATCTGATTGGTCAATTACGTCGCGATGTTATTGGTCGTCTGTCAGTTAAGCCGTGATGTTATTGGCTATGAAGACTCGTAATCAGTAATTGGTGCGTTTAGATCCGTCTATTGTCATAGTTAAACAGTCGTCTATTGTTAGTCGTAGTTTGCAAAACTAACTACGAGAGAACGACTGGAGAACCGACAATTTGACTAACATCTTTTCAAGTGGTGGGATAATATGTCATTTTCATATGTGAGGATTTCATGTTTTCGCGCGAAAGCTCACCTGGTATTTCTTTGCCAGTGTTTACATAATATATTCATCATACCCAAAGGTTACCCAAAGGCAATTTGTTACACTGCGCATGCGCATGATGTATCCATTCTCGATCCCAGTGTTCCCTGCTTGCCTACGCTTGTCTCCCTGGGTCTGCTCCTGAAAGCCCGATTAGTGTTAATCCAGGATTAAAATTTTCAGTGGCTCGTTTTTGTATTTTGCCTTCCAAAGTATTGCTGTATCTAACTCGGAGTAAAGGCTCATCAGTATGTTGTAAGCTCCAGTTGCATGCTCGTACACAAGAAAACCTTGCATCAAATTTAGTCTAATCCTGGGTTAAACTTAACCGTCCTTCGAGGAATCCGGACCTGGTGGTTATGTGCAGCAGAGCACCTGGGTCGAGAATTTGTTTTGTCAAGCAGCCTCAACTTCATTTTCACCACTGGAAACAAAAAAATGGTGAACATGAAAGTGTTGTGAAGCAAGTTCAAACTCTTCACCACATATCACAATCATGTTGTGAGTGGGGGACAGTTAAAAAACCGAATCACATCAGGCCGGCTCTCACATGTACAACACCTGGAGTCTGTTTCTTAAAACTTCCAAAAACATTTTGAAGTACACAAACTTCATTAGCAGAAATGTGATTTTAAATTTTTACAAGATCGATATTTATTTACTTTTCACAAAAACTCTCAACGATCGGCCATTCGTCCCAGCTGCGCCAGTCAAATTTCACACGACTTGAAAGAAATATATATGAAATCTTCAAACTAAAGTTATCAAGCGGCCTATTTAATGCCATAAAAAACAATTCCTTCACAAAGACGACAAATAGGCAACTTTTTTACGATGAAATTCTACACTTTTTACATTTAAGTTGTATTCTTCACTACCGACAAAAACTCGATTACTCCGTTAACAACAAATACCTAACAACTTATGAAAATTTTACTCTTCACTACGTATACCTAGCTACTGGTCACTGTGTAATTTATTCTTTTGTTCCAAAAAATCGACTTCTATGCATAAAAACTGCATTATAGAAAATACACGTGTAACTAACAAGAAATTGTCTAACTTTAACGTTATTTGTCTCTGAAGTACAAATACACAAAATTGATAACAATAAAAATTCTCCACAAAAATACCTAATTATCATAAAAATTGATCGGTGATCGATGTCATCTCATAAGTAGATGAAGCATGATCATCCGGGTGAACGTACTCCTCTCATTGACTCGGAAGATGACTGAAGCGCCGGTTATCGAAACGTCAGTCAATATAAACAACAACGAATCCAATTTATTGACTACGCTCACCCAGACGATCTTGCTTCACCTACTTACAAAGTAATTTTTTACTGAATGTGCTTACTATATGTTTATTGAACATTTATACTTTAAAACAAATACCTAATTACTTCGTAAAGCTATGTAAATTGGAAATTTAACTGCTAACATTTGTCTACTACAAATGTCTAATAAAAATTGTATTCTCCACTATATATAATTACCTCACCGTAAGTTTTTAAGCACTAGCTCTTTACTAGCAATACCTGACGTCTATAAAAAGTGCATTTCTCAATACAAATCATCACGTCCTAATTGCATTCTTCACTGCAGCAAACTAAGGGCTATGTAAGCGCTCGCGTATATAGTCGCCGTTATCAGGCTATTACAACCGGAATTACTTAAACCTAATTCATGTCCAAACATTCAGCAAAAAAAGTTCAGGGAAAACTGTTGCTATTTTTGCTATTAATTTTTTTGCGGAGAGTTCTTACAAATTGCGATTAATCAATCCCATTGCATACCGTTGATTTTACAGTTAAGTAGTTGCATTTATTCCTTCAGTTCATCGATTATTTCCTGCATGGTTGGTCTCGCCCTAGGCTCCATCTGCAGGCATCGCCGTACCAGGCCACGGAACGCGCCATTTGTTACAAGCACCAATTGTTCTTCACGCCTTCGAGGATCTGGAAGTTGTCGGATGCACATTTCACAAAGAAGAACACCAAAGCTGAAAACATCAACCTAACAACAATACATCATTTGAGTAAGTCAATATTCTTTCCCTGGGATGTCTGTGGTTAACTACGGTTAAAGTCCAGAGAGGCTGGATTTTCATTGCACTGACAATATCCGGGACAGTTGTGCACCGTAGCCGAGCTGAGTCAGCTGAGACAAGCCAGAAAATTTACGTTAGGGATAAACAATGAGTTCCATTTGGAGATATGATAGAATTTCGAACAGAATAAGCGTTCTTAAGCAGTAATTTGTCCAAACTTGATGACAGAACACATATTCGCCATTGTCACATTATCCATAATAAAAACTTAATGACTAGTCCCGAGGGGGGCAGGTAAGTTTGTTTCCCGAGGCTGGAGATTTTGAAGCTAGAAATTCATTAATCCTCGCTGTAACGGTGGTCGTCGGTCAACATTCGCGGGTAACACTGCACTGTTACGCTCTGACATCCTAGATTTTGCAATGTTGCCCGCTCAGATATTCAGTTTGGCGGGAAACAGTTTCTTTGTTCGATGTCATGTGACCTCAAAGTAATCAATGATAACGCGCGCTGTTGGGAAAAACATTTCCAGCTATATTACAATGCACCTTGTTTACCCCAAAACATTTTGGATAAGCACTGTTTTCGCCTTCTACCCGAAGAAAGTAATATCCCCTCCAAGACAAAGTTTAAACAATTCTTACGCAAAATTTAATTTGTGTGTGTGTGTTTGAGGAGAAAGGTTGAACGAGGTACATTACGGGCAATATAAAAGTGGTGAACTGATAATTTCCATAATTCTTTTATACTCTGGTTAGTACTCTATGTTTGTACACAGCTAGCCTAGGACCAGGCTCTGTAGTGGGGGAAAAAGAAATTAAAACACCTTTACGCGTCTTGTTGTTTCTACTAATACCTACATGTTATAATGACTAAACGCAATAAAGGTTTACCGGACTAAAAACTAAGAAGCGTGGAAGAGGGAAGTATTTGAGCGCGCGAAAATGCCGTGGGCGCTCGCGAGAGCTGGTAGAGGAACACGATAGGACGGGACGGGGCGGGGCGAGCAAGTAAGGGCTATAGTTTTTTTAAACCTTAGCAGGATTGACAAATTCAAGTAAAATAGCAGTTGGTCGTTGGTAGTCAAATGACCTCATCGTGAAAATGGCCCAACACTGTATAACTCTGTAACCCCTTCTTTCCATTCTACTAATGACAGCCGACGAAATTCAAAGCACAGGAACATTATAAGCGCTAAAACTAGCCAGGCATACACGCCGCTGTTTCTTCCGTAGGCCCCAACGTGGATTTGGGAATGGCAAGGGTCACAAGACGCGCGTTTACTCTACAGAAAAACTGGGTCGGGACCAGTCCTGAAAAAAGTTGGGCGGCACCGATAACTGTGGCAAAGAAAACTAGAGTTTTTGCAAGGCCAAAGGCACCTGCGACCTGTGAAAACTCGAGTATTTCTTTACAAATGTTGTCGGAGCCGTAACAGTTTTATGACTGGTTCAAACCAAACACTTGTGACAATATTAGCATTGCTGCACATTTGTAAATTCAGCAGTCTTTGAAATTCTCGATCACCAACCTTTGGATGATTGCTAGCCCACTTGGTGTTTACAAGGTGTTACTTAGACAGCCTTGAATCCTGCATTTTTTTAATGAAAACTAACCTTGACTGTTTGCTTTGATGTAAGTGCTTCAGGTGCGCTGTAAATCATAGCTCCAGGAGCCACTGTCATGGTCTGCTGAATGAAATTAGCGGTGCCATAATCTGACACTTTGCCTCTCCATTCCTCACCTTGTCGCCATAGCAACACATTTGCACTGCTGACGTCACGATGAATGATAGGCTCTGGTTTCTTCTGATGAAGGTAGTTCAGGGCACGTGCTACATCCAGAGAAATGGTGCATATTTCTGTCTCGGAGAGTTGCCGCTGATCCAACAAAGTGCGCAGACTTTTCTCCATCAGCTCGGTTACAAACAGAGGAGTTCCCTCATCTTTTGTGGCGCCGATAAACTGTAGTAAGTGAGGATGGCGGCATTTTGCTGCGATATTCATTTCTCTCTCAAACAGATTAATGTTATGCGGAGAAAGAATCAACTCATGGATTTGTTTCACTGCTACAGTACAGCCACAATACGTTCCCTCATTGACACTTCCCCATCCTCCCCTCCCAAGGCATTTATCTGTGATTTGAATTTCGTCGCGGGTAATAACCCAGTCACGTGTTTCCTGGCTGCGAAATTCATTTATTGTTAGCTGAGCTGTTGAAAGACTTAACTGTAGTTCAGAAACTTGTTCTTGGCAATTTCTCAACTGTCCCTGAGAATTTTGTTCACGTTGCTGAGACTCCGTTAGCTGCCTTTGAGAATTTTGTTCCTGTTCTTGAAGCTCTCTGAGTTGCCGCTGCAAATTTTGTTCACGCTGCTGCGACTCCGTAAGCTGCCTTTGAGCGCTCTGTTCCCGTTCCTGAAGGTCTCTGAACTGTCTTTGTAAATTCTCTTCGCGTTGTTGTGTATCTCTTAACTGCCTCTGGAAATTTTCTTCACGTTGCTGAAAATCCCTCAACTGTCTTTCTAATTCTGAGGTTCGGCTTGTCGAGTTTGCTTCGCGTAGATCTTGCATTTTTTCTGAAAGGATAATTCAAAAAGGATACAAAGCAATCAAAATCACTTGAGTAACATGGGCAAACAGACTACGTTTTACCAGGAGCATATGGTTTTACCTAAAAAAAAACCTTGACTTAACAGAAAATGCACTGCATTTCTTCTCTTGAAACTGAGTGACAACTGTGCATAAACGAAATATTGATGAATAAAATGAAATTTAGAATGGTTTCTTTCGCCCCATTGTTACTTAAATAACATTGCTTGTTTGTTGCTTTTTTGATTATTATTTTCCAATGTTAGACAGGTCGTTACTCGAGAAGGTGCGGAGAGACGAACCGGAGATGTGACAATGTAAAATATAAAAACTAAATTCTTCAGCTACATGTATAAAAAACAGTCAAAGTAAAAACTTAGTCACTTCTATACCGATAAAAGTTACATGCACTGGAAAAGTGGCTAAGAGAAACTTTTTATGTTGCATTCCTTATTGCAAGGCACAAAAGAGGTGTAAAAAAACAGACATTTATGTCTTTTACGCAGACTGAAAAAAAAGCGAATCGTGAATATATATCCTATCCTACGGTGAAGGAGGACATTTCACTTTAGGGGAGGGGTAGGTGGGCAGTTTCCCATGGCCAGAGACGTATAATGATCCGATAAATCTTAGTCAAAATTTAGTAATCCGGGACTATATACCGGCTGTGTTTTGACCAGAATCTAAAGCCATGAAATGTCTCGTTGACTATAAGAACAAGCATGTAGGAACCAGCGTGATATACCCTATAAAAAAAGCCGTGGTGTTTCTTAATTTTAAGATAGAATTGTAGTAGTCTGGATGGTGTAGACTAGCCCTAGCCACAAGTTGCTCGGCAACTTTTTGGAGAAACATTTAGTTTTTGGGGCAACTTGATTAAATTTTAAGCAACATAAGGCAATTAAACAGTCCTATGATACTGTTTAAGCCTTGTTATATATCCTTATAAGAACATTTCAGTTCTTTAATGTTATAATTATAGATATCATTTAACAACGTGAAAATCGAAATTTGTGCCCCATCCCCCACCCCTCAGCCACCTAACACCCACCCCTGCTTCTCAGTTACACTACCCGCGATTTGGGGTCAGCCGTTCGTGCCTTTTTCAAAATGATGGCAAACATTGAATCTTCAGTTAGTTTAGAGAAAGAAAATTCTAACTCTCTAACTCTGACTACTATCAGCGAAGCCAAAAAGCTCGATGCAAATCTAAGTAAGCCTGAAAACGCTGCAATAGCTAGAAAACCAAAGAGAACAAAGATACGGATCTCATGAAGGAATTTCGACTCACAGCATTCTTTTTCACACGATACTGACTGATTTATGCGACCATTACGAATTTTTTTCCTTTATTGTAACTATTTGGTGTTATATAATTGTCATGAACTATTTCTCGGCAATCACGTGTAAAGTAAAATCACTTAATTAAGTACTCTTATTGCGCAGGAAAACGAAAGACATTCCACAGTTGTACGTTTGAATGTCACCTGTAGCAGTTGTGTTTACAAACAGGGCAAAGAAGCAAGTAGTTTTGAATTGCATTATTGTAATTCACTAGCGGCGTTTGTCTTAAAAACGCGAAAATGGCTGTCACTCATGTCATTTCGATTTTACTTAAGAAGCAACTTTTTGTAAAATTCAAGCAACTTCAAGCACCTTTTTCGACATTTTGGAGCAACATGTGGTTAGGGCCAGTGTAGACTACCAGTTGTACCGAGTGTTTTTGTAATCCTCGAATAAACGCCGCATTCCTCTGGTTGTGTGCGGCGATTTTTCGAGAACAGCGTTAATTGAACGTTTATTCCAGGGCAGCGTTACATGTAATCGACTAAACACGGTAAGCCTATTGAAAGAACAGGTATAGAAGGGGTAAAAAAATAGTTTTTCTTAGACCCATCTCGTTTGGTAAGTTTAATTGCTCGACTATTTACCCTTCCGAAAGTGTGCAAAGAAATATTCAAAGATTTTTCAATTCAATAAAGCGCAATAATTTTTGCATCGAACACCTTGATATGGCGGGTCTCGTAACAATCCTTAAAAAGGAGGCTTACACGCTCACGCTTGACACGTTTTCCTTTTCTTAACAGCTTTATTTGTTACATTTTGCTTTGTAACATTTCGTGCAAAAGAAGTTATTACGTTTTGCGCTAAAAATTTGTGACACTTTGCGTTATGTAATTCCTACATTTTGTTCAGAAAGCTGTTTTAAAATGCTTAATGTCATTACATTTTGCGTTAATTCTATGAATTATAATATTTTGCAGCGTAACGGACACGGAAAGGCCTAAAGTAGACCAAATTTAAAAGCGTTCAGAACGCGATTTTGTTTAACACCGTTTATAATTGAAACTCTGCTTTTATAACTGGCTCATCATTGTGTCTGAAAATTTCACTTAAAACTTTTAATAATTACAGCCCCGTTACCCTTGCACATGAACAGAGGTTTAACCATATGTCTTTAAATTCAAACATCAAAACCTACAGACTATTTAACTTCTGACATCAACAACTTGGGCTGCCTGTATCATTGCCTGACTACCTGTACAGGTTTAATCAATATGCCTTCAAATTCAAAAACCAAAACCAAAACTAACTAGTCACACCATAAGCTTGGGCTGCCTGTATCCATACATATGTACGGATTTTATCATAATTCAAAAACGAAAACCTAACTAACTACTGACACCATAAGGTTGGGCTGCCTGTATCTTTGTCTGACTGCACCTGTAGGGCTTTATAACAACCAAACTAACTACTGAACTCTCGCCATAAGCTTGATCTGCCTGTATCTATACACTCCATCACGTACAGCTAGAGGTTCAACCGTGTGCCTCTTTGTTGCACAACCAAAATTAAAAAAAGTTTTAGAAATTACATTTCATACTCTTAGTCTTACCTTTGATAGAGGCGGGCAACTTTTCGATAAAAAGCTGAAGCTCATTTGGATCAGCATCTTTCAGTTGAAAAGTACGGCTATTTAACCAAATCACAACCCTTAGTTCACTAATTGTAACTGTATCCTTGGTGACCTTCACTGTAGATTCAGGAATGATATAAGCCTGAAACGGTAAGGAAAGATAATGATATAAACTAAGTTCTACAGTCAAACTTGTATTAAACGGACATCCTTGGGAATGGCTTACTCAATCGCTTAATACAGGTTGACGGGTTTGCAAACCTAAGGGTTAGTCATGGACATGAAGATGGTGATAGAGCGAAATATCTATCCCACAACAAATTGACCTCAAACTGTTAGTAGCCTTCTTGTGCCAAAATAAAGGAAATAAAAGCAGACTTGTCAAGTCTCACGACTTTGTCATGAGTTTCACGATTTTAGGACCTGTCTCACACTCTCACGAGTTGGCAACTGATTTCTCACGCTTTCTCGAAAAGTCAAACTCCAAACAATTTTGGAGCTGTAGGGTCGTTTCTAAGTTAGATATCAATAGAAAGCCAGCTCAACTCAAAGAAAACGGTAATAGAATGTAATCAAACGCGACTATTCTTTTAGCCTACCGCGCAACTTGCCGCTGCCACCAAATGTGCAGACTTACTGTTTCTCTTGTCTCAAGATGGCGCCAATAAAACATACAAATTACAAAAACTAAATCGTAAAATTGATTGTGATGTTTACTGTTCCAGCTTTAAAGTGATATGGTGATTTCCAAAACCCATAATCTCCACTGAACGTCCTCCACTGGGACATTTGGGACACCTCACGACTTTTTAGCCATTTCTCACTACTTTTCCCTGCTCTAGGTTCAGAATCTCACATTTTTACCTTTCGGGGCTTGGTAAGTCTGTAAAAGACCACTAAACGCCCTACAGAGTATATCCTTTTGCACTAGTATGGCACAACTTGACAAAGGGACAGTTTAATGGAGAGGAAGACAATAAAAAATTACTCATTGGGACCTCGAAAACAGGTGACCACGTCTGCTCAATAGAGGTACGGTAACTGCTAAATACAGATCAGTTTTCACAATAATCAAGGGAACCTATTTCCAGGACTTTGGTGACCGCGTAATACAGGTTTGACTGGGTTAATTATAGAGGCAGTTACAGTAAACATCCGCTAATAAGAACCTTGGATAAGAATCTCTTGGCAGACAATTGCCACTTTAATACCCAGAAATACAAGAACCTGTTTAGCCAAGCAAAATCAAGCAGGTTCTTATATGTGGGTTACAGCTAAATTATGACAAACAATTTAACAAAGGAGTGTAACTTTGAGTTGTAAATTTAAATACAACAAAAACATACTGTACTATAAAACTATACATAAATTCGGTAATCAGTTTTGTTAGGGTTATAATAACACAATTGTTAATAAGTAAAAAGCTTATTTATTTTTCTGGTAATCGACAATCTATTATTTCCTTCATAAAAATTAACAACCTACTTAGCCTAAATTGCCCATAAGGTACCCCAAATTACAAGAACTTATAATTTATTTGCTAGACTTCAGAAAAGAAGATTCTCATTTCTACTGCGGGTGTTTACTGTACCGCAAAATAACAACTGAATACAATTACACCGTCCATTTAACCGAGATTTCACTAGTACCACAATGATATGAAGCGTCTATTCAGGGGACACCCTCAGGACCAAAGCAAGTGTCCCCTGAATAGAGGTTCCCGCTGATTAGAGGTTGGGCTGGGGTTTGTTAACAATTAACCAACAAAGACAGCATAAAAAAATCATCATTAGGGACTTTAAGATGCCACAAGGGCGACGACAAACAAAACATCAAAAAGGCAGTAGGCTGAAATGAATAGGCAAAGCAACAACTCTGGATGTGCATCACGCATTTTGTACATGTTTTTGCCATGCATGACTACGACAGGGAAATGCCAAATTTTACGTCTTATGGAGGACCTAAAGAAGCGACGGCTAAATTATCTTTCTCTTCCTCAGGGGTGTAGCTAGGGTGTGGTCCTGGGGTGCCTGTGACACCCCCTCTGTGAGATAATTGTTTTATGTCCCTATAATTCAGGTGGCCAAAACGCGCGAATCTGAAGAATCAACATGCGATAAATCTTTTCCAGTGCTACATTTGTTACTTACTCCATTTGCAGGACCGAACATCTGTAATGGACCATGCTCTTGTTCGTAACTAAAAGAGAGTAATTTATGCTAGGTAGAACTTAATTAATCTATGCAGCTATTTTGTAGGCTCGTCCCTCCCCCCACCGCTCGCTGCCCATCCGCAAAAAAAAAATGTCACTTTTAGTAAAACACGGCCTGGATATCGACATGCCAAACTGGTAAGTACTCTGGGTTTGACACAGAGTCAAACCCCCCCCCCCCCCCCCTTCAAAAATCCTAGCTACGCCCCTGTTCCTGAACTTAAATATGATTCTTAGGAATTCGGCTCAAAAACTCAACAAGGCTTCGCTTACATTTGGCAAAGTAAATGAGTTGGAGAAATGAGTTGGAGTAATCGGGATAGAGACTGCAAGAAGGGAAATTTACTTTTTAGGCGACGTTTTCGTGGCCGTCACCGTCGTGGTATCTTTAACTCCCTATTGTTTTATTTATTTTGTTTTTATTTTCTATTTTTATATAATTTAATTTACTTTTTTTAATAGGTAACACCTGTACAGAAATGGTAATACTGAATAAACCTGTTGTGGTTTCTGCTATAATTATATGTTGAATTCACTCAAGTGCATTTCATTGATTTATGTGAGATAGTTCAGTTTGTGAAAGCTTCCATTTTTTTATTAGTGTGCACTTAATGATATCAGCCCTCTTTGAGGTCAATGACTTTCTGAGTGCTGAGGTGTTCCCTGCGGTAATGGACATTGAAATAGACCCAGGTTTCTGGACCCAGAAAAAGACTCCCTTTCCTCTGAGCAGAGGTCACTTGTCCCTTCAATAGAGTTAATAGATACAAAGATTATGTGCACATTTTCTGCGACCAAATTTTTTGTCCCCTGAATGGAGGTGTCCCAAAGGAAAGGATGATCAATTACACTATTTGCTCAATTTTAAAAACCAACATGGATGAGGTTGTTAGCATATAATATATACTGGTTGGGGTAATGGCTCAACATAATATTTTGATTCTTTTTTAAGTCCAATATACAATTTTTTGAAACCTACTAAATTTTTCTAAGTTAATATAATATCAGAGTGCAATGAACACACTTGGGCCGGCGGCACTTTGAGATTTAAAGAGATATCTTGTTTTTGACAGGCAACTATAAACTGTCCTTGTAAACATGACTTGTGACTTGCGGACCCCTCTAGGAGGCTTGTCGCCTTTGGCTACTCAGGACTTCTCCCCCAAATGATAAATCCTAGATAGAACCCTGTAAACTATTAGAAAAAGGGATGGAAACACCATCATCACTTGTCATCGATCTACTGACAAGCATAAGCAACTGTTATTACTGCAGAGAAATACACAAAGAAGGCTGTCAGTCAAGTCCCTGACAACAAAAATTATTAGTTCCTTCCCATGTACCTCCCAACCTAGATCTCTCCATCTGGTCCATCTCCACAAACCTGATCACGAGTTATTAATTTTTTCTGTCTTCTCTGGGACACTTGGTTAGTGGGGTTTAACTGGAATCTTTTGCATAATTTATTCCATTTTGATAATGGCATGCAACACATACACAGGGTGCAAAGAAAATCATTTTTACAGCTTGCCATTCGGGAAAGTTGAAGCTAGCATTTACTAGCCCAGACGTCATTTTAACTATAGCCCCAAAAACTTTTTGACTAGCAGAATTGACTAG